TTTTTTTTTTTTTTCTCTCTCCAGACATACAAGTTATGAAGAGTTTGTTTGCTAGAGTTGTGTTTGAGTTTTGTTGTTGGTTTGTTTTTCCCCGCACTCCCCCCTCCTTCCCCCCTTGTGGTTTTCTCTTGACCTTGTGGAAAGGAGGGGAAATGATACACCTACAAAAAGAGATCTCATTAAGAGACTATTAAAACTTAAGAGGAAGAGTGGCACTTTCCTGCTAGTATAGAAAGTGTGTTTATCTTCTTTAGGGCCAATTTTTAAGCGTGATGTTTAGCTAAATCAGAGTGGCTGCTAGAAAACAATATCAATTATGTAGATTTTTGCTTGCTTTCTCTCCTTTTCCCGGTATTTTTTTTTAATTATGGTTGTATACCACCAGAAAATGACCTCTGTTTTTAATCGTCAGTTTTAACTATTCCCTCCAAATCGTTTGTCAGCCATTGAGTGGTTTATCTCAAAAACTAGCAGTAGAAAAGAATTTGTTACTCAGGTAGCTGTTAGAGAAGTTGTAATCTGTACTGGAGTTCTGTTTCCAAAATTACAGGTTGGTCAGCATCTAATCAGTTTTGAAGCAGTTCGTAACTGGATGAATCGTAAGATTTTATTTTTTTGGCATCTTAAGTCTAGAAATAGCTTTTTTGGTCAGTTTTAAAACAGAAGTGCTGGTGTAACGTGAACTATTAAAATGCAGTAGTGCAACGCAATTAAGTACTCTTCATCAGTACAATCCTGACTTTATTTTAACTGTCATTAGAATATATTTAGTATTTTCAGATGCAATAGATAGATACATGTACTAATATCCAGTAATTGCATCAAATTCTGCCACAACCTTTTTGAAATTAAACATGTACATTTGGTATTTTGATTTTTTTTTTTTTTTAAAGATATGGTAGGATTAGGTCTCATGGTTGCAATCCAGTAAAGCTAATGCACTTGACTAGCCTGATGCTTATGAGCCACGGACTTAAATAAGATTGCTCATGTGAATACAGTTAAGCCCATAAATCTTTGGAAGATCAAGGCCTAGGTGTGCAGCTTCAGTGAACACCAAGTATAAACATAAATCCTTTGTGTGTTGCTGAAGTTAGTGTTCCCGTTTGTTGATTATAAGTGACTTTAAGTGTTTCTTCAACAAAATAATTTGTATATGCTATTATATTTGCTGCCACAAAAGGAAATTCGAATGTTCAGAATAATCCTAGAATCAGATAAGGTGTAGGCGAGTTTTGTTTGCTTGTTTTGTTTTTGTTTTTAATAAAGGTATTACAGCAGTGATTTGTACTTACCCTCTTGATATGGTTAGAGTTCGTCTGGCGTTCCAAGTAAAAGGGGAACACAAGTACATGGGAATTATCCATGCATTCAAGATGATTTACACAAAGGTATTTTTTCTTTTCATCTTCAGTCCTGTCAAAGCAAAATGTGCTCTTTAAAGAATGTTGCACTGCATTGAAAATAGTGGCTTGGTGGAAAATAACATGGCTTCATTGCGTGCACATTGAATTTTTTAATGTAAAAAACTATCTGGATGCTTCCTTCTACTTAGGCTTCTAAGATGTAGCTAGGACTCATGTAAGTGGGAGGTCAAAAACAGCAGAGAGAAATTGCTTTTCAAGAACAAGTAGTAATGATACAAAAAAAATTGGGGAGGAGGGATATGTGTAGTGCAAAAATGTCTCCTAGATTATGATGTTGGGTGTAGATATTTTTCTCTTTCATTTTCACGTATTTATTTTCTATGGAGCCAGGCAATTGTCCCCTCAATTCTTCAGGCACAAGAAATGGAACTTGATGTTAGCTCCTTGGTGCTAGATGATGCCAGTCAGATTGCTGTCATATGAATGTGTATGAACAGTCGTGTAACTTGTTAAGGCACTTGTTGTATTTCTTGCCACAAATGTACTTGTATTTTTCTTTCCAAGGAAGGTGGTTTTAGTGGGTTCTACAGAGGGCTGATGCCAACTGTTGTAGGAATGGCACCGTATGCGGGTAAGTTCAAAACAGAACATGGCAGTCCTTCAGCAGTTATGTGCGCTACTAAATTTACGTAATAGAGCTGCACACCTAGTTAATTAGCTTCTGTTAAAATCAAGGATTCTGTTTTTCACTGAATGGAGAAGGGAAGCCAGTAGAAGCATTTGCAACTCCTTAATCTAGAGTTGATCTATGTGGGTTAATGCATCTTCACTAGGCAAAGCCTAGCTCTTCTGAAACTTGGAGTTGAGAGGGAGAGAGGTAAAGTAGTGGTTCTTTCTCTTCTGCTTTCCAGTTTTCCCACAAGAAGGCATGTAGCATGTTTCTCTCAAACAGGTAGATCCATCTAGACGGCCTCTGAACTGGCTCCATCTCCTGGCGACTTTTGTGTAAATTCTGACACAAGCTAAAGCAGTGGGTGACGTGGGGTGGAGGAACATCAGAACTGCCCAGCTTAACTACACTGATATTGAAAAGATGAGAAATGTTCTTCAGTTAAAAAGGTCTTAGGAGTTACTCTTAACAGCAATCCAGTAATTCAAAACCCCCAGTCTAGCTTATTTAAAGCATTCTTTTAATATTAATTGTAAACACTAATTCATTTGGACAGAAGTTACTGTAGAAGTTCAGAATATTATTTGTCTATTTCTTTCTGCTGAAGAAAAACTTCTAAAAGAATCAGAAAATAGTTTCATTTTGTAATTGCAGCTTTTTGTTTATGATGATGATGCATCGACAAATAATTTGCTTTTTTATGAAAGTACATAAAATTAAATTTCCTTTTAGGTTTTTCATTTTTTACCTTTGGTACCTTAAAGAGCATTGGACTTGCTCAAGCACCTAACTTGCTTGGACGGCCTTCATTAGATAATCCCGATGTCTTAGTTTTGAAAACTCATGTAAATCTGCTGTGTGGTGGCATAGCTGGAGCAATAGCTCAGACGATATCGTAAGTTTGGGTATTGTTTGGTGTTTTTTTTTTCTCTCTATAGTTGTTCATTCTAAAGAAACCTTAATCTGAGAATATGATTTTATGTAAGTCTAGTTATTAGTAAGGTTTTTAAATCAGGTTAATCAGACACTGGAATTCAGTTATTTCCTATTGTTTCATTTACTAAATATATATTTAATCTTCAGGGTCTTTAAAGATATATGCATTGAATCAATTAAATTCAGACAAATCTCCTAAAATCAGTTGGACTCTTGTTTGGTAAGATTTTTGACCAAGAACGTAATTTGCAGAATTTTATTATTCCAATTTATTTTCAAAACAGTGTAAACCTGTGAAGCCATCAAATTAAATTAAAAAACAAAAAGAAAAAAAAAAAGTCTTAGATATTGTATTTGACATTACTTCTTTTTATTACTTTGCCTGCTTTCTCCATTCTCATGCTGTCCTTGTCATGTTTTATTTTGTCCATAAAATAATTTAATGGACTTATATGGTATCAATTTTTTCACTCTAAATCACTGCATTACAAATGTCATTTTCTGTTAATCTTTAAACTGCTAATTTTATTTTCGATTCAGGTGTCTTCTCCCTCCAGCGTTTTACAGACTGCTTTATACTGTCATCTGATCTTCTTCTGTCTTCCTTACACGTGCCAAATGGAATATATTAAGAGATCTGATTTTCTGGTTTTGGTTGTGTATGGGAAGTCTCCCTTTTTGGAGAAGTTTCAGCTGTGTTGAGAATCTGAGCCGGATTCCTGACTCACTGAAAAGGGAGCTTGGAGGTTGCACATGGACTTCTTTGTGTTGTTTTTCAAACAGTGTTCATAGAGTCACCAGGCATCTGGTTGAACTGCTGTTTACGTATCTCCTCTGTAGATATCCCCTTGATGTGACTCGTAGGCGAATGCAGTTAGGAGCGGTTCTCCCAGACTCTGAAAAGTGCCTGTAAGTATTTTCGTTTCATCCGTAGTAACTGAATTCTTAGATGTCTGAGCAAAGTTAAATTCTTTGTTTAAAAGAAACAAAACAAACCAACCCCCCAAACTACTATGTTGTTGGTTTCTTCATTCTTTCAATGAATAAGTTTCCACACAGATAAAAGCTGCCATTATCACTCTGGAGTTAAAAAAAATAACTGAAATCACAATGGCACTTTCGTTACCAACACTGTGTGTGTATTAGTAACGTTTTTTTTTAAATTTTAACTCAACTTGCGATGTCTTTCTTTAATATTAGCAGAATCCCTAAGAGAGGGACTGCATGCTTCTACTGAAATGAAATGTTTCAAAGTGTTTTTTAAATGGTGCAGAATCTGTTCCATAAGATGATTTTGCATAATACTGTTTTATTTGACCTTTCCTGCGTTTATGATGATGTCCCACACCCCACACTTGGTTGATGTTCCTCCACTAGAAGTGGAAGTACCGTAATATCCTTAAAATCATAGTATTAAATCAGCTCTCATCTTGAAAAACTTTCTGATTTTCAAATTGCCTCAACCAAATTCAATTCCAAGACGGTTTTGTCTTAGTTACTTTCAGTGGAATTGTGCATGCCTGAATCCAGCGTGGTTCAGTGTGAACCTCCTGTGGGGCGCATTGGACCTTGCTAACAGTAGCCTCTCTCAGTGACCTTTTACAAACAACCTAGATGTTGCTTACAGTGGAAGTTGCTGTTCTGTTTTCCTTCGCAGCCTTAACATTTTTTTTTTGCTTGGCTGTTTTTCACTCCAGATACTCTTACAGTACAAATGTGCCAGTTGTTCTTGGGGTTTTACTTTATGCGTTTGCGAGAAGTACTTTTACATAAGACATTAGGCTTCCCAGTTTAAAAACACTGTTGTGACTGTGTTTGGAGAGAGCTGTGCCTTGAAGGAGAGTGGATATATACGTCTTCAGAGGATGAGAGGATAAAACAAGTAGGAAATCTTGAAGCTTTGAGGCGTATGAAAGATATTCTCAAAGAGCAGTGTCTTCAGTAGCTTGGAAATACTGAGCACCTTACAGATTTTTATATTGGTTTGCGTTTAACATCCATTTGCTCAGTTTCAGTGTAAGTACGTGAGGAAGATCATTTGCCTTGCATATACACTGCAAATATTATATACTTAACATAAATTCTAGCATTTCTCATTTGAGAGAAAATACTAGGTCTGTGTCATGGTGGAGGAAGCTACACGCAAGATGTAGAATACAGAGGTAAACACAAAATTTATCTACAGGGCTTTAGGAGGACGGGTAGTATGATCAAGTTCTCAAAGAAGGAGAATGATGGGATGCAAGCCTAAATACTGATCTTTGATGCAAGAATTGTGTGCTACATTGGGCAAATTATGTTTCTGTTACTCCATATTACATTTATAGTAAGAATTGATGCTTCTCAACTCCTTCCTGCCAGATAGGTTACAGAGTATGCATGGCCATTCTGGTGTAAAATGTCTTAATATGCCTTTTAGGGCGTGTATTTTCAGACTGACACTTCTTTAGATGGAATTGCACTGTCCTCTTTCCATTTCTCAGCCCTTGTGCCCAAATTTCTTGCAGAAGCTTAGAGTCTGAGTCTTGCTTCTTGCTGAAGCTTCTGAGTTCTAAAACAGTGCTTTGCTATGTGGAGTCCTGTGACTTTTTCTCGATAGATTCTTAAGAACCAAGTAAAACAAGTGTCTCTTATTTAAAGAAGGTGATTTTGACTATTGAATACGTGTATCCAATAATGATTTCAGTTCTTATTTTTCCAGTACAATGGTGCAGACACTGAAATACGTGTATCAACAACATGGAATACGAAGAGGATTGTACCGTGGTTTATCTCTAAATTATATTCGTTGTATTCCTTCCCAGGCTGTGGCTTTTACCACATATGAACTTATGAAACAAGTCTTGCACCTCAACTAATTTTTTTTTTCCTTTAAAAGACTTTCTTGTAAAACTACACTATCAGTCCTCAAATTATATTGGTGCGTAAATTACTTGAAGTTTAAAAAAATCCTATCTATTACTGTGGAACTGCTGTTGTCTGACATTTTTATTTGCCAAAGTGTGGCTAATCTCCTGGAGTCAAACCAGGAGACAGATCAAAATACACATTAGGTAGCTATAAACATTTTTTTGCACTTGATCTTCTAGGCTTCATTAGATTAATGTTAAGAATTACACAGTCTTAAAATTACACCCACATTTTGTACGGGTTTCAAGCTGTTAGTTGTTTAGCTTTATCACCATTCCAGGTGTTAGACACATGGTTGTATTGCTTTTTAAGCTAGTAGTTAGACAGCTGTTCTTCTTTAAAAATTAAATTGAATAAACTGATTTGAACAAAATGCAATGATTTTCATATTCAAATCCTTGCCAGCTCTGTAGAAGCTGAACTCAGCAGACCACAGCTACAGCATCTTTTCATTCTTTTTTTTGTACAAGTTTTCTGTATGCAAGAACAATGCATATGTCTTCAGATTGGTACACGTGAAAGTCTCTTCAACCATTTCAATAAAAAATGACAAGATGTATTTAACATTATTAGAAATCTTGCAGTTTGGAAACCAATTTCTTGGCATACGTTCTGCTCTAAAACATGCTGTATCTACACAAAAATACCAAAGGGGAACTTTTAGAGTGGCAAGTGCTAGAAAAGATCTCCTTAATGCAGTCAGCATGGGCCTAATCTTACAAGGCGTTTCTGTACCTTTTCTGTGAAAGTGGGAGTTCTTGATTCAGTTTATGGAAGGCTGAGTATTTCATGTACTTTCCAGTACTAGTTCGTGTAAACAGGTCTGTCCCTACCTTAAGACACGGTGACAAACAAGACTGCATGCTACTGCATTTACTTATTTATGCATATGGACCATAGTCAACCTCTTGGGCAAGAAAAGAAAATGAAGACTTTATTTGAGCCTGTAGACGTGCATATGTACTGTTTCTGAAGTGTGGTATGCAATAGACTATTACATGTTTTTCTCCTCCTGCAGTTCCTTTTGTAGGGGGAATTGTTTTCCAGGCTCGTTGATTTGCATTGGTACTCTTGATTTTACTCTCTTGATTCAGGAAACTGTAAAGCATTTGCTTTAAGTGATGTAAGTTATTTATTTATTGTAAATATTTTAGCAATGTCTTTTAAGAATTGATAATTGTTATGTTAAGTGGTGAATGATAAGATTGATTTGTTTAATTTTGACATATTTGACAAACTGGATTTTGAGTTATATATTCAATACCAAATTCTGTGGCTCAATTTTTTTTCCCAGTTTCTTAAAAGTATGTATTTCTTTGATGTTTAACAATGTAGTTATGGACAGAGAAGGAGATGTATTTGAATTTATTTTATTAAAAATTTTGAACTAATGTCTTTGTGTGATTTGTACGTGTTGCAGCCAGAAAGAATGCATGTTTCTGCAATTATCTGTATGTTTGCCCTTGTAGGTAAATCTGCACAACATTGTCAATTCTAATTAAGAGACAACGGATAAGATTTTTCATTCAATCTTTAGTTTCACTTAAAGGAAAACTAACCAATATCACAGTGAATTTTTATCTTTTAAAGTCATAGAATGGTTTGGGTTGGAAGGGACCTCAAAGATCATCTAGTTCCAACCCCCCTGCCATGGGCAGGGACACCTTCCACTACATCAGGTTGCCCAAAGCCTCATCCAGCCTGGCGTTGAACACTTCCAGGGATGGGGCATCTACAACTTCTCTGGGCAACCTGTTCCAGTGCCTCACCACCCTCAGTGTCAGTCCTTGCAATAGAGTTAAATCCACTGTACTAAAAAAAAAAAAAAAAAAAAAAAGAGATGTGCCGTTTTTCTTTCCTGTATCTTCTCAGGTGCCCGTTCTTTGCCGTGTTAGTACTGTAAGGATGTTTAAATTTAGAGTTTTATGTCTTAGTTTTAGTAAAAGTCATATATTTGAGGACCTCAAATAGGTTTGAGCTGTCATGAAAAGTTAAGCAGTTCTTATGCAGAATACAGCAGAATCCAGAGTATTCACTCTTGAGAGGAAAAGAGCAGTAAAAAGTGTCCCCTAAATGGCTGAGTAGGATATTGAATGTGAAAAATAGGCCTACTGGGTGAAACTGTGCTATATTTTCAGGATTAGATTTTCAAAATAAAAAGTGTATGAATAATTTTAAATTTGGAAGTATTTTAATACTTTTGAGCAAGGTCTATGAAAGAAAAATACTTTTGTCCAGTTGCTAGATGGGATGAGACTGGAGTTTCTAATATTTTTTTTTTTTAGTAGCTATTCCTCATTCTTTCTGGAAAGCTTATACGGGTATTTCTTACTCAGTTAGAACATAGAATTTATTTAGAATATCTGACTACTACAATGAAAACATGGGACTTAGTTGTAAATCCTCTTTCTTTCTCCGGTGGCAGTTGTATGAAAACTGGGTTTATTTTCATTTTGAACTACTGAAATAGTTATAGTAGTTATAGTAGAAATACTGAAACTTATTCCCTTGGGTTTTTTTTCTTGTCTGTCTCTTCAGTATTTTCACTGTACTGAACAAGCAACATCTAATTTTAGCCAGTAAAACATATGATATTAGGCTCTAGCCAAGAGATACTTTCTAATTATTTTTGTTTACTTTTTCAGAAAATGGAAGGGGCCTGAATATCTGTTTTTGTCTATTTCCTAAAAATTCATATCTTAATAATCTCATAACTAATAGTTCTATCCAGTGAAGTAATTATTTTTGTGAAGAACTGGTTGCATAGCCTTGGATAATATTTTTAAACTCTGTTAAACCCACCTATTTTCAATACTCTACATTAGCAGAAAAGAAAGGCTCACCATTTCACGACTCCTTCAGGTGAGACAGTTTCATACAGGTTTATCCATGATACGTCTTGAACATCTCAGTCTTGAGGGGCTTGTTTCCAGTGATTAAACATTGTGTCTTTAAAATAAATGCCATACTTCATCCTCACATCCTTACAATTTAATATTTTGCCTGCTGTAACAAAGGCATTTATGTGTGACCAATATTGCAGTTTGCAGTCGTTACACAGAAGAGTTTCGTTTATTTGAACCATTTTTACACTGATTAATTCTAATGTCTCTATTTATTTCATTACTGATATTCTCCAGATGTTTTTTGTTGCTCATTTAAATGAGCTGAGACCTCAAGGTGGACGAATTCCCTTGACACTCTTTGAATTCCTCCCCTCCTTCCCTGAAAAAGGAGCATGGAAGGCACTTGTTACAAGCTGTCTTTTATGTTGGCAACTCAGAACAACTATATTTGTTAAATTCAAACAGGCAAAAAAGAAAAGATCTCTGTGCTTGGTGCTTAACTGTGTTTTTATTCTGTGCCAATAGTGTGAGTGAGGTTGTTCAGCTCAGAGATCTCTGCTGCAGTGACATGAGTGACAGACTGCCCCCTGAACATCCTCAGAGTGGATCCCAGGATGCTTCAGGCTGGTCTGAGTTAGGTTTCCTGTACTCCTGCTCTCCTTTCCACTCCTGTTGGCAGGATCTGACCTGTTCTTTTACCACAGTGCTAGTACCATGGTGCTTCCATGGATCTGATGAAAAGCTAACCCATCAAAAAAATTGAATGGATTTTATTGGCATCACCTTACTGAACCAGCTCACTATGGCTGCACACTTGCTAGATCTGATGCAAGGTAAATTTAATCTCAGATTTAGTTTTAGGAATAAACTTGCTATCTGGAGTGGCAGCAGGCAAGAATATATTACCGAAGTCAGTTGCTGTAGGTTTCCCTTATAGATTTCCCTGATTGAATCTGTGGCCGAAAAATTGAGGGCATATAAAGCATACTAACTCTTTGTAATTATAGCTAGCTAAGTCCCTGTTTGTCACAGGACTCGAAGGAACAAATTTCATTATTTTGTGATAACAAATTTTTGACAATGAATTCCTCAATTTACACAGTTCAAACTTGATGGAGAACACTGATGTATCTTAAAATTCTAAGAACGTTTTTCTCAACCACTGATGCCAGAAAGAATTAAAAGAGTGACAGTCTGAACGCTTTAGTGCAACTTTTGGTATTAAAGTAAGGTTTGGTATTTTTCTGGATTTCAGACTCTGTAGAGATTCCCCAGACTATGTGGATTTTAGCTAACTTCAAAAAAATATTTAAAGCATATTTTGTACTTTTATAACTGTATTCTTTTAGGATTTTATTTTTTAGTGTGTGAGGGATGTGTAGGCAACATGAAAGAGACTACAGAACACAAGGTTATGAAGTGTACAAAGTAAACGTATTTATGCGGTCTCTTTTAATACCGTATCAAATTATGTGACTGCATTTAATAATATCGACACATAAGTATTAAATTACAAGCAAGATTATATTAGAGGTTCTGTGATGGAAAGCAACATTAAGGTAGCTTACGGTATGTATTTCAGGACTATCCCAAAGAAAACTAAGGGATTAATTGAAGTATGTTCTCACCTTTTAAAATTGAAGCTTTGAGTCTTCTGTTGGGATGGCTAACCATTGGCAAAACTGTTTTCTTT